TGTTTTTTTTTTTTTTTTTTTTTTTTTTTTTTTTTTTTTTTTTTTTTTTTTTTTTTTTTAAGACAAGGAGACTCAATTCACGGAAGCACAAAAAAAGTTATTAGCGTTACACGCCGACGTAAAGACACATGAAATTTTAATGCTTCTGCTACGACTGCGTCAAATATGTTGTCATCCGGCATTGATCCACGCAATGCTGGATCAGGAAGACTTGCAACAAAGCGGTATAATGGATATAGAAAATGTGGATTCTAATTTATTATCGCGCGTTCATAATATGTCACTTACTGGAGTTGATAATGAAGAGAAGGAAAACGCTGGTATTGATCAAAGAATAATGGAAAATCTACTCACTGCCGAAAATCCGGTATTTGATAATGATCGTATTAGTTCTAAAGTAAGTGATAATTATATCATCTGAACGAACTATACTATTTTATTTAATTCTAATTCAATATAAAATGATTCAGATGAAGATGCTACTTGATATTGTTAAAAAAATTTTGCAAAAAAGTAATGATAAACTTATTATCGTTTCGCAATGGGCAGCATTGTTGGAAGTTATTGCCTCACATTTACCCTCAATAAAAGGGGCTACTTTTAGCAAATTTACAGGAAATGTTCCTATCAAAGATCGACAGGTATGGATTATTGATATCAGTATTATCTATGTACAGTGTTCATAAATGTATATTCCCCCGGTTTGGTTTTCCATTTTTGAGGGATCACAGTACCATGCGTATCAATTTAGCTTTAAAGTCTCTTCAGAGAGCAGAAGCTCGCTTATGTTTTTGCATTTAGTAGTAGTTTGCATTTTTACTCCTTAGTTTGTCAACACTCGAGGTCGAGAGAACCTACAGTTTAACACCAAATCCGATCGGCGAATGCGAATCGCGCATGTAAGAGGTCGAATCCGAATCCACATCACGAGTCATACTGAGCGACTCGGCGCCCCAAAATATTTTCTGATATTTTTGTCACATTTCACGAAACGTTAAATACCTTGGTGAAAATAATTGTAGAGAAATTTTTGACTACGCATTTTAAAGTGCAAAAATAGAGCTTTAAATCTGCGCTTGAATTTTTTTCTACATTAAATTATAATTTTTCTTACATTAAATTATATAAAATTGAAAATTAATATTATAATATTTTTGTTTTATTTTAAAGCTCTGTTTGAAACATCAGACAAAATTTAATATAAAAGTATTTTAAGGTAGGCTTTCTAAGCTTTAAAATGCTTTTATATTAAATTTAATTCGATGATGTTTCATCAAATTGTTCCAATGTAGAATAAAGATATTGCAAAAAATATTGATTTTCAATTTTATGTAATTTAGAAATAAAATGTAGAAAAAAATTCAAACAGATTTAAAGCCCTTTACGTTTTAAAATACGTGGTCAAAAATTTTTATATGATTGTTTTTTTACCGAGATATTTAACTTTTCGTGAATTGTGACAAAAATATTAGTTTATACAACAATATTTACGAGCGCGACTGTATTATTTTTATTGTATCCTATCCTATTAAAAAATTAATATTTATATATTTTTCCTTCAGGGTATAATGGAATCTTTTAACAGTCGAAATTTTGGTCCGAGAATTCTATTATTGTCACTGACTGCTGGCGGAGTGGGATTAAATTTGGTAGGCGGAAATCATTTGTTGTTATTCGATATTCATTGGAATCCACAGTTAGAAACACAGGCGCAAGACAGGATTTATCGTTTTGGTCAAACAAAGAATGTTTATGTTTACAAGTTTGTATATCGAGTTTGATTTTTACTCTTTATGTTTTTTGCAAAGTTCCATTTTAATATCTTTTTGTTTCCATTTTTAGATTTATCTGTGTTAATACAATAGAAGAGCGTATTAAAGCGTTGCAAGAACGGAAACTTCAAATAGCAACAAACGTATTGAGTGGTAGTACAAGCAGGGTGGTTGGAAAACTTACGCTGAATGATCTCAAATCTTTATTCGGCTTCTAATCCATTTTGTCTTATAATAACAGTTGATAGCTTTATATTATATAAAATGTTTTATTTAATTATAATTATAAAATCGATATTATTTTTAAGCATATATATATATATATAATATTTTCTGTTTTAAATAGAATATTTTTAAATAATTTTGATAATAATACACATTTTAATAAACAAAACGTGTTACATTATGAATTCTCTATGGACAATTAATTATTTTCTTTCTATTAATTTTATTTATCTTGATTCTTATCTACGCTTTGACTGTTTTAACTGTTGACATGATTATATTTTATTCAAGTTCTCTTATGTTATACGTATCAATTTATATTTTTTTATTTGTAAAGTAGAATGCAATATTTACTTTAAAATCGCACTGAGCCATAGAGAATACCTTTTCAAGCATAACGAATAGGAAATATGTTATTTGGAAGTTTTAATATCATAGTTTCAATAAATTAATAATGCAATATAATAGTTTTTATTTTATTACATGACATTCTTCTAGTTACTTTATTATATTTATCACCAGTTAATTTTGGTATTTTTTTGTTAATTATGTGTTGCGCTGCATGCTGTATAAAAATGTTTGCTTAAAACATTTAATTCTTATTATGGAATTAAAAAATTAAAGGAGGTGTAAAGGGTTTTATTTATTTGAAAAAATATGAATAGGAAGGAATGAATCTAAATAGGAAGGATGGCGATTAATAACTACTATTTAAATTAAGACACCTGTGCATATATAATGCGCTATTGATATCGATATTAATGGGCGAGTCATGGTTCAAGTCGACAGAACGGCCAGATCTGCTTGCCGAGCAAATAAACACGATTGATTGGTCCACAGGTAAGAACTAATCAGGGTTATTCGTTCGACAAGCATACCTATTCGCTTTATCGTTTTAAACTCGCTCAATTTCTCTATGATAAAATTTCAAATCAATCTAAGATATTTGAAGAATTATAACTGATAACTAGTGCAGCACAGTTTAGACATATAGAACTGTGTCTGATATATAGGTTAATATTCTTAAGTATGTACTACAAACATTAAATGTAATCAAGATAAAAATAATATTAATAATGCACGCAATATTAAATTAACTAATATGAATATTTCAGATCGTCTGTCAAATATATTATGTAAAGCATCTGTTATATCAAAAATAATTGTACAGATATGCAAGGGCGTATTCAGATTCCCACCGATGTTCCCCAGATGCAGTCATCCTTATGTAACATTCAGTAAGGATAGAGTAATAACATTTGGGTGCGAATCTGATATAGCTAAAGGAAAATTACTTTTAAAAATAAGTTACAATTTTTTTTTAATAAAATAAGTTATCGATTTTATTTTTATTATTTTATTATTAATTTTGTTTTGTAATTTTGTTGGTTTTACAAACGATTGTTTTATTTTTTTAAGATCTTAATCTTTCTGAGACTATCCAATGGTGACTATCGACGATTTCCAATTGACATGTGGAAATACATTTTTTATGTATTTGAAGATTAATCGCTGGAATTTGGAATACAAGATTTAAATTGTTACACAAAGAATGTAAATTATTACTTTAAGTTTATATTATGCTGAAGAGAGCTAGAAATTAGTTGAAATGTTCGTCTTACTGTAAATATTACATTTTTTTAATCGTTAATTTCTGTAATAATTTTATGCGCATCCTTGCAGTGTTGGTTCCTAATAACCTATTGCTTCTCTTTTTGTTTTTGATTAGTGTATTATGATATTTTTTTGTATAACAATTACTTTTTCTCTTTTATAGATTTGAAAATTCTTAGGATTAAAGTATACACATTAGTATGTCTGTGAGGTGGAATTTATGTCAAAAAATTAAATTAAAAGATGAGACTTACCCTTTCTCAATGTGGTACTTAGAGCTGTCACATTGTGATATGATATTTGGTTCATATAAAAGCTGTGCAATCTGTTACGAAATAATAGTCCACAGACTAGTAGTTTGTATGAAGAAACAATGTGGAGTTTAATTTAATTAGAGCCGGTTGTTCCATTTTTAAATAAACTATGTGGTAATTTACTTATTGACTAAACAAAAGAGTAAAAGAATAAAACATAAAAAAATAAGACAGTGAGCTGAAGTTTATCGAAAAGTGAAACCCAGCTTTAGATGTGTAATTAAAACGTTATTGTTATATGAATATTTATGTGTATGTGTGCGCGAGATATTGATATAGTAGTATGTAATGATATGTCAATGCACATGTAAATCATATAAGTCCTATTTGTACTATGACTAATCATCTTTAAGGTCCTCTCAATTAACGATGAAACAAATATTTCATCAAATATTTTGACAGATAATAATAGTGTGTGTTACTTTTCGATGTGCTCAACTTCCTTTTTTGCACTCAATTGTTTTTAAAGTTCATAGGTATTATAATCAAAAAATTATATTCCATTCCAATGGAATGGAATAAAAAGTTTTACAAATAATATTATAATTAAGATTAATCGGTAAAAATATGTTTTATTTACAAAAAGCAAAATAAAAATTTTTTAAAATATTACCTTAAATCAAATCTCCTAAAATAAGGAACACTTTATATTTTGCTTCACATTATGACTTATTGACTATATTACTGCTTTATTGAAATGTAAATTATGACTGCTTTATTGAAATGTAAATTACTTTGAATTTTGTAAATTACTTTTTAAAATTATTATTTTTTTAATTTGATGCATGCAATAAATAAATTATAAAAATATTTATGATATAGCATAAAATAAATTTGTTTTTCTTTTTATTTCTTGAGAAATTCAACAAAAGGGGACTAAGTTTCTTCGTATTAATCGTTTCAAACAATATTTTTTATAATGAAACTTAAACGATGAGTGGGCTATTGGAGCCTTACACAAGTTATTTTGTTGTGAATAATGAAATCAGCGTAAAGATATTATTTACAAATTATATTTAAAAATTTAATCAATCGAATCCATTCAATCAAACGATGTTTTATGTCTTCGATGGAATTAGATAATATCGATAATTTATATGATAAGATAATTTAATATGATAAAAAATAATTAAAAATTATAATTCATAGTACATAGTCTCACTATCATGTTTAATTGGTATAAGAGAGTACATGGACATAAAATAAGCTCGAATCTGCTATGTTCCACATAATATATCGTGGATACAACATAAAATGCGACTACATTAAAAAGAACAACATATAATATTATATTATTATATGATTAATTTTATTTTAAAACAAAGACAAGAAAGTTATTTTTAGTTATAACGTTTACGTAAATACATGAATGTATTTATTTAATTATATAGACATGTAAATAAATATGATATTATAGAGTATGTAATGTTATTTAAGAGGAAGTATAATATTCTTCGGTATAGTAACTTCCATCAATTGTTGAGATAGTGGAGGATTCAAAATCTGAGCAGAGTAAGGTATATTTTTATGAGATATTAAATTTATAACACCTGGAGGTACCTCAGCTGTTGAAAACATGTTAAGATATGGTATTATATTGCATGAATTTTTACTATGTATTACAAGAACACAATTGCCAAAATATAGAGATATTGTCAGATAACTAAACAATGCAATTTCATCAGTATGGTATATAGGAGTTACACCTCCTGGTGCATTAATGGTGATTAGTTCCAATCTTTCATCTCGACAGATTAATATATTTCTATATACCTTATTTATTAATGTTAAACATTTTAATATTGTCTTTGCTAATAGATATTTGCTAAAGAAAAAAAGGAAACTTTAGTTAAAAATGTATTAAGAGTACATGAACGCATAAATATACAAAAAAATCTATAGAAATATATAAAAATCTATATAAATATATACATAGACATTTTTTAGTAAATTAAAATATATACCCATTGTATTTTAATGTATGTGCAAGATTATTTAATATTTCTTTTCTAGAATTAATAGACAAATTACTCCAACTTTTAAACGCTTCTAAAGCTGAATCCGTGGCTCTATTTATATCTACTCTGCAATAAATTATTTAAACACAAATTTATATAATGTAAATTTAAATATTTATTATAGAATAAATTTAAATATTTATTATAGAATAAGAAAGAAAGAAGAGTATATTCGAACCTTGTTGCGTGTGCATATATATTATCATTATGTATCCAGTATGTATCACTTACAGGCTTTTGCCATGTACCATTATAAAAATGATTGTAAACTGAATTTGTATATGTGTTTAAATTTATTTTATCTTCATCTTCAGGCTGTATAGATTCATTATTAAGATATAAAAAGGTACGAAAACATCTAAATATTGTTTTCTGGAAAGGAAGCTTAATACCAATACCAAACTCCAAATACGTATTTATGAATATAAAATCCTTCTGTTCAAAATAGAAATAGTTTTGATAAAGTTTTAGATAGTTTAAGGCATTGCATTACATCATTTAAGTTATATTACTTGTAATTTCATTGCTAATGTTTTTGCAAATGTACTGTCTTCTGACCATATAGACACCATATTGAAATGTAATAAAGAATCTTTGCAGTTTGTAAATAATTCATTTCTTGAATGAAATATAAAAATAGGCAATTCCACGAATAAAAAATGTTTAAAATTTTTTTCTAGAAGCCATAAAAATTTCTGTTTTACTGATTCTTGGATAAAAATTTTCTTTATTTGTAACAGAAAACAAGGTTTAATCTTCAAATAAGTAAAAATTGCATATAAATCTGAATCTTCGAACACAATCATCTCTGTGGTGCAATCTGTAGAAATTTAAAAGAAAAATCTTAATTATGAATTAAGAGAATGTTTTTTAGTTGTAATATGTAAATATTTTAAATATTATGTTTACTTGAAATTAGTAGTGATGGATCATAAAATTTATTTACATTTGTCAGAGTAGACTTATCGCTAAAAAATATATAAATGTTATAAAACGGATCTAATGTTATCTTTAATATAAAAAGTATTAATTAATATATTTAATAAATAATTTAATAGTACAAATTAATTTAATAATATAAATATTTTTGGATAATTACATAATAGCCTTTTTTAAAAATGATGGAATCTCGCAATCTTCACACATAATAAACATTAAGTATATTATGTTGAAATCATCAATATTGTACGTATCTTTTAAAAACAGAAAAAAATATTTCTATATCAATAATTCAATGTTTCATTTTGTCATAAGTTATTTTATAAAAATAATATGAAGAGTAAAGAAGCAAATTCACATTTATCAACATATCAATATATGTGTATAATTGTATAATCACTAGAATATAATCATAAGTATCAAACTCACTATCAAACATCAGTTTTAATCCGTTAGCATACAAATGATCAAGAAGAGTAGTAATAATATCTACATGGTTACAAACAGATTTGAAAAGAGATAAATTTTTTTCTATTATAGAAGCTGTTTGAAAGTATCTATAAAAATGAAAAAAGAAAATAAATAAAAAAAAATATAGAAACAGCTTTATATGATTCTTAATTAGATTCTTAATTTAGAGGTAAGTATTTATGTACTTACCTATCAGAAAAATTATTATTATTCTTAAATTTCAGATTTTCGTCTAAAGTGGATATTTTGTTCAGTGCTTCCTAACAACACACACAAAAAATAATACGAAGCATTATATACAATATAGATTATACAACTCACCAATATTCTATTTCACAATTTCTCAATATATTATTTATATTTATATTCACCTGCTTGTTGATCTTATCATATACTAAGATTTTGTAATATTGATTTATAGTGTTTATTTGTTCACACATTTTTTGATTATTACTCAATTTCCAATATTAAAGAAGAAGTATATATGCCTCGTTATCTTTGAAAACAAGTGAAGATGATTTTATGTAAAGAGAAAACGTTTTGATTTGAAGCAACCAGCTGGTAATCAGAAATGCTCTATATAGATAATCTTTTTGTATACTAATAACACACTGAAGATCAAACAAGTAAATATTACGATTATGTGAACAGTATTTATAATAACGTACGTATCCAAACACAGTACAGCATAATAATGTCCAAATTTAGAATACAAAAACAGCTTCTACATAATGATGTCTAGATAATGACTATTTACATCTCTGATGAAAATTTTTCTTAGAATTCTTTATATAATTTTTCAAAATTTTTATATAATTTTATAACTTTTTAGAAAATTTCTCAAATTTTTTATACAAAATGGAACATTTTTTAAAAGTACTGAGAACATTTACATCTTGTATTGTAGAATTCTTTATTTGTAGATGTGGTAACAATTTTTTATGGTCTTCACTATTATAAATTTTATCTGCATTCTCTCTAAATGTGAGATGACATAAAAACAAAACGTTTATCATTTCTTAAATTGATTTTTTATTATTATATATTATTCTTTATTTCCTCATATCATTCATTATTTTATCTGTCACTGAGAATGACCGCACATTATAGAGATAGAAGTTCGACTTTATTATTAATGTATATATTCATAAAATTTATTTACCCTAATATGCTCAACTAATTCATTAAATCATCTTGTATGTTCTTAATTTTTAATCTGTTGAATCTTTAAATTATTAATAATTTCTTTTTGGTTAATGTAAAAACAAAAATATCAAATTATATAATTAGAAATATGGTTTTATACAATTCTACTGATTAAATTAATCAATATTTGGTCATAAACTAGATTGCAAAGTATATTCGTGAATTAAATATTGAAAAGATATAGGAAACAGCGTTCATTTTGGCGCTTTAATCATATCATTCTTGTTATTTATCAAATGTTAAACAAAAAGAAGTGATATTAAGCGCTGAGAGCATCAATTATTGAATTTATTTGTATGCGTATAATTTGTACATAATATCTGGAGAATAGAACAAGAAAAATATGATAACAAACGTAACAATAGAATACAACGTTCAAATTTAATAATCTCCGTTTCTTGTCACATGACTCACATTTAAATCGTCACTTCCGAAGAGCAGATCACAAGAAGCATTGAAAATTTCCCCAAACTTTTTCTGAGAATTCCCCAGAATCTTCAGGAGAAGCCTGAACTAAATGTAGCAGTGCGTTTCTGGTGAATGTAAAGCAAAATAAAGGTGTATCGAATGAATGGAAAAATCTTAGAATAGAAAAGAGATCTGTGAACAATCATTGACATATATAGTATGCTAATTGCATACTCAAGAAATCGTTAGAAAGCAAATCGTCAATGATGAATTATTGCAACAAAGCATTCCGTCAAATATCGTATTGCAAAGTAACGATATTGTTGTAGCTACTAACTGTGACAACATCAATTTTGTTAGAATAGTATAAAACGCAATAGATAATATCTCTATAAATATTTGTTTAAATAAAAAAAAGAGATAAAAAGAAGTAAAAATGACGATTGATTTGTCGACTGTACCGCTTGTTGCAGCCACTGTCGCAAGCAGACAAGTTATCGCAACAATGTTAAATCCTGTGAAGGTTTTACCAAGTGATAATGGTTTGCCAAGGTAAGCTATCATTCGTGATTTTAATAGGCATGCATTTTCGAAAATGTCATGTGTTAACTAATTTTTAAATAAATTACAAGGGATTGGAGAGGCTTGGCGCATCAATTAGAATTCAGCTCAAAATTCGTGTCAATGCTTGTGTCACATTCTGATCCAACAATGCGTATATTCACAGAGTTGACAGACAAAAATAAAAAAGATTTTACAATAAAAGATTTTCAAGCAATGATGGAACAGATGGATAGATGGGATGTTATTGATGACACTGAAGCTTTGTTCCGTATGTATTATATTAAATAACAAAAATTTTTTTTTGATATTCGTTAGTTTAATAAAATAATATATAAGGAAAAACTTCAATAATAATAATTATCGTTAAAAGATTTTTTTATTGTTGTAGAAAGTGATGCTGAGAGATATTTGGAGCATCAGCAAAGAGCTCAAATGTCAGCAGATCCGATCGACGAATGTACCGATAAAAAAATACTTACTTTAGGTTTGTAATGTACTTTAGGTTCATAGTGATTTTAATTTAAATTATTTTGTGCAATATAGAATAGACTTCAGTCATACATAATTATATTAAACGACATAATATTTATATGTTTTTTATAGATGATATTCACAGATTAAAGCAAGGTTTAGCGTTGCAATATTACGATGCATTTCTTTTATATGCAGAAGAGGATATTGTTTTTGTAAAACAGATGATTGAGAAGCTTGAAATACAATTTAAGCTAAAAGTATTGCAAATAAATGACATTTATGCATGATTTCTTTCTTACATAAGTTTAAATAAAATTAAATTGCTTTCAGCTGTGTTTGAAAGATCGAGATTTGGTAGCTGGTTTAGAATTCGAACATGAAGCAGTAATGGAGTTAATATCGGAACGATGTAATAGATTACTCATTATAGTATCACCAAATTTAATGAAACACTCAGCAAACAAATTTTTTTTAAACTATACTCAAGCTTTAAGTATCGGTATGTTTTCATGTTTCATATTTCTTTTAAAATGCAATTGAAACGATATTTTGAGTATTCTTTTCTAAAATATCGTATTTTTTTTTAGAGAAACGACAAAGAAAAATTATACCATGTATATACAAAAGCTGTGAATTGCCATTTCAACTGAAATATATATTTAATTTAGATTATAATCGTAAAGAATTATTTGATTTTTGGGGCAGATTACGTGATTCTATACAAACTTCGAATTCTACTGTTACAAGGTAACGTAACTCTTATTTTCTATTTTACTTTATTTTAAGAATGTAAATGATATCATTATTAATTTTATAGCAGTTCAATTCAAATAGGAAATAGTAGTATAATGCAAGAGACTACAGAAATAAAGAAAACTTTCTCCGATAAATACATTGACGAATCTTACATTACTCAAAAAACAAATGAAGCATTAAAATTTCAACAACAGAAGAGTGAAAATTGTAAGGATGAAATTATTGCAAAAGCAATAAGTGATATAGAAACTTTAAATGTTAATAATAAAACGAACAAGACATTATTACGATGGGAAAAAATTACTTCAAATTTGAAGATGAAGCAAACTAAGAAAAGCGATCAGTTAACTACAGAAGCAATTGTTCAAAATCTGCCATCGGTAGATAACTTAGACAGCTTAGATTTATCAAATACTCACATATATAAGAAAAAGAAGAAAAATTTATTTAGCAAGTTTACAAAGAAAAAAATTTCCGTGAAGACTTGATGACAATCTTTATACAAAAAATTGTATATAAAAATCATATATATTTTTGTATGTGCAAAAATACATTTAAACGTTTACAATGTAATAGATTTAGACCACATTGCACCAACGTTGATTTTAAGCGAGATTTAAAACTCTTTCTGTCTCTGTCTCTTTTTGGCTTTAAAACGAGATAGATAGAATTTTAAGTTTCGCTTAAAATCAAAATGACATTGGTGCAATCGAGTCTTAGGAAGATACACTCACTCAAAATGAGTTTTACATATATAACAATTGTACATATGTGTTGCCAGAAGATTAAAAGTAGTAAAGTGTAAAGAATATTACGGATGAACGATGTAACATGTGTATTTATTATTTTTTTGTTGAAATTATTGATCTAAATATAATATATTGGACTTAACTATTGAAATTAATTGTTATATAAAAAGTTCAAAAAATTATATATGTAAATTATAAGATAATGTAAATATAGTAAATATACATATATATTTTTTTTTAATATATTATATACATTTTATATATTGTATAATAAATATTAAAAATATAAGAATGTATTTATTTTTATTCCCATTGTCAGTTAGTATTTGGCTTATCAGACCAATAAGATTTATAGTATTTGAGAGAGAAACCTGAGACAAGACATGAGAGCCTTTTTTCTGTAATCGTAAAATGCTCTCGCACTATCCTCTGAAGAAGTAGATGCAAACTACAACAAAATCCATTTTTTCGGTGCTTCTGATGACAATTAATCAAATTAAAATCGTTGAAATGTTTATTAATTTGATAGATTTCCTGGTGAAATTATTAATTTTTCAGAATTTCTATTTTTATAACTTTCTCACATTTTTTATATGGATTTGGAACATTTCTCAGAAAATCTATATCTTTTCTCAGAATTTTTTATATATGTTAATTATGAAATATTGTGAGATTTAAAAAATTTTTTATAAGTAATTTCTGATGAAATGTTATAAAATCTAAAAAATTTAAAAATATTTTTTTTAAATTATGGGATGAGAAATTTCATAATATTTTAGAATTCACTATGAAAAATTCTGAGAGAAGATGTAAACTTTCCGAATATTTCTGAGTATTTCTGAAATGAGTTACAATTCGTATAAAAATTATGAAAAAAATTTTCATCAAGATTTACTTGAGCGATTTCAAAGTAACAAAATTCAAAAGTACAACAAGAGTCAAAAGTAACAAAAAGCCATAATACGTTTTTTGTTAAAAATATTGCATACATTGCGTGTATTGTAATTTGAAATATTTAATAGCGATTTCAGCTGGGATGCACTAGTGTGCACTGGTGTATATAAAGACCATTGTACAATGAAATAGCGATTTCGGCTGGAGTGCACATAAAGCTGTTATACACAATTGCCGTAAAAATGTATTAAAAACAGATTAAATCATACAATCCACAATACATTATTGTACTTAATAAAACATGTATTTCCATATCATTTTTGCATTCGTAGTGATTTTGACTGGGACGCAATGACTGCACAGTATTCGAGTGTCGGTGTAAAGAGTATGTTCGACTGGTTGAATGGTGCAATTCCTTGCCAGTGTCATGAAACAGTGAGTTTTGCAGGTTAAATTAAAACTATAGTAATATAATATTTAATATTTATGTTTAATATTTAATATTTATGTTTTTATTATGTATTTACATTATACTCGTAAATATATTTAATACTACTCGAAAAGGAAGCCATCGCAATAAAATCGGGATAAACGTGATCATTTGTATCCCAAAAAAGCTCAAAGAGAAAAAAAGAAGAAAGTGAAAATTAGCTTCACAGGGAGAGAGTGACAAACTGCATCATGTAACTCCTTTGATTGAGTATGGATCATCAAAGCTCCAAAGATATGGAAGAGATTGAAGAAAACTGGTCACCCCGTGACGTCCTGATCGGACGTGGTGCAATCACGTGATGCAATTTGTTACTCTCTCTCTGTGAGGCTTTCTAGTGAAAATCGGTCACCTCAAACCGGATAGATTTCTCGAAAATCGTGAATGATGCAAATATTTGAAAATGGCAAATTCTATTCTTCAAATTCTATTCTTCAAATATTGGACTGCGATCATGATACCGCACGCAACCAGTATTATAGATCGGAAATAAGATTCACATTTCGTGAATTTCGTGTTCGCCTGATGAAATATACACTGTCGCAGTAGTAGGTATTAACAGTGAACAACGGTCTTGATCTATGTATTAGTGCACGTTAGTGTTTCCGAAATCGCTATTAGTTCGTATAATCGTGCTATAATCATCCATTCACAAATTGTGGATTAGAAATATTCATTTTACATGCGTGATGTTTATTTCACTTATGCCCATTTTCATCAACTGTAGATTAATTTTAATCTCGATTCAATTTACTTTTCGTCTTTTTCTAATTCTAAAGAGAGTTAATGGATATTAATGCCCATCTTTTAGTTTTAAAAATTAAAAAAAAACAGAATAACCTAGCAAACGAGAGTGGATTAAAATGGATTGAAATTTTTTTCTATCCGAATGCGTATTTTAAATAGCAAATACTTTTATTGGATTTAATTGAATTCCATTGGATTCAAATGGATGCAATTGGATTGAAAAACTGTATTTCCTATTCAAAATATTGAATTGAACAGTATTCACAATTGTGTTATTATGCACAGAAAAAGCTAATATTATTTTTACATTGCAAGGCATAGAGATATGCTCCACGCAATTCCTATAAATGAATAAAAATGCATTTAGAATTAAAAAGCATTCATTTTAAGCATTCATTCGTGAATCAATATTTCTGAAAATCTGAATCCATTTCAATTCATTTCAATCCATTTTCGTTTGCTGGGAATTTAGCAAAAATGAGTTATAGAAGCCTTCCACCATCTCCACCAATTTTATCGGCGATCCTCTTTTCTTTGTAAGTATATTCATCCATAAAACAAACAAGCTATTAATAAATTTAGTAGCCCGTTTTTGTAGACCAGCAAACGAAAATGGAGTGAAATGAAATGAAATGAATTCAGATTTTCAGAAATATAGATTCACGAATGTTAAAATGAATGCTTTTCAATCCTGAATGCATTTTTATTAGTAGGAATGCATGGAGCGTACCTCTATATGCCCTTAAATCTAAAAATAATATTAATTTTTTCTGTGCATTGTGAATACTGCAATTCAAAATTTTGAATAGGAAATGCAGTTTCTCAATCCAAT